ATACATTATGTATATGTACGTGTCCTGTGTGTTTGCAAATTGTGCAAGTTCTGTCAGAACTTGTGCGTTTGTCTGCATGTGTGCGATTGTGCATGCATTAGTGTACGTGCAGGTTGGTCTCTGTGTGTGGTAGCTCCTAATTGGGGATCCGATACAGCTGTCTTGTCTCTCGCATTTCCCTCATTTTCCTCCCTCTCTGCCAGTTAGACTCACGCAGACAAACACAGAGGGAGGACCGAGACTGCAATGCTTCAGAAGTCTTCAAATCCATTCCCCATATGTAGTTTAACATCTTTAGGCACTATGAAGAAATAAAGTCTTGGACTGTTTCCATGATGAAAAGCCAATGCGCTGTGAGTTTAGACGATGGCTTAATGTCACTGAAACATTAAGTTTGTCTGCCAAAAGACCTTTTCCATGAAGTGTAAATCATAAGCTCCCAGGCTCTCCAGTTAGGTGGCACATTCAAGAGTTAACATTATAGCAGAAAAGTAATTTGTGTCCACGACAGAGTAAACAGCCACTAGTATAAACAACAAAAGAGCTGTCTTTTATCAACTTTTTTTGTTTGTTTTTATTAGATAATGCTGTGTGGTGATCTATGTCAGAACAAACTCTAATCTGAGTTAAAGATAGTTTCATCTCCACTCCATCCTAACCACAGCGCTTCAGATAGTTCAATATTTCATTTAGGATCTTACAAGCAGAGGGTTATTTTTAACATTTAAATAATTTCTAAGACATTAAGGCCTTGAGAGCAAAAGATCCAACATTATTTGCCCAAAAAGAAGAAAAAGTCATCCAACAGACTTCTTTAGTCTTGAATAAAGCACTACGAGTTATTCTGTGGTGCCATTAAGTGGTTAAGAAAAAAATAAGCCAGACTGCACAATAGCCTGGAAAAGGAATAAAGTCATTTTTAATAACAATATTTTGCTATTTTGACACGTCAATATGGAGGCTCAGCAAAAGAGTAGAAGATCTTACTGGACCAATACTGGTGCATGATATATGTAATACAGGTTATTAGTCATGCATATTTTTTTTTTTTTTTTTTTACAGTTGCTTTGGTTTAATTCTTGAAATAAAAAAATTAAAATTAAAAATTAAAACCTTCAAAATATAAGGAGCCTTTTCAATGTATTTGCAAACATTTTAGGTAGAGCCTGATTAATTTATCTGTAGACTGGTAGCTGACATTTGCTGATGTACCACAAGAAGCACTTCCAGCTGCTAACTCTAAGGCAGGAGTGGGGGAGCTCAAGGGCCGGTGTCCTGCAGGTTTTAGATCTCACTCTGGGTCAACACACCTGAATCAAATGATTAGTTCATTAGCAGGCCTCTGGAGAACTTGGAGACATGTTGAGGAGGTAATTTAGCCATTTAAATCAGCTGCGTTGGATCAAGGACACATCTAAAACCTGCAGGACACCGGCCATTGAAGCCTGGAGTTCCCCCATCCCTGCTCTACGGGATGGAACAGTGGATCGTTTGCCTCCATCACCCGCTGTCCCAAGCGCATGATCTGATATCCTCGTGTCGGTGTTGTTCCCATATCATCATAATAAATGTTGTTCCAGGTTTAACATTGCAAGTGACCAATCACATTGTTGTGATGTCATACTTTTGCGACTTTGGAAAAAACCACCTTAAAAAAAAAAAAAATCTACTTAACTTGCGAAAAACCGCCTCTGTCCGCCAATACAGCAATTTGAATTCGTTGCATTTCAGCAGTATCCTGGTCACTTGAAATGTCGAGCCTGGAACGACATTTATTATGATGATGTGGGAACAACACCAACACGAGGATATCAGATCATCCACCCCAAGCATCCTCTGTCATAAAAACCCCCTGCATATCATTGTTCACTAAATCCATGAACTTTCTGTGGTCTTTCTTTTCCTCCAGCATTGCAGCTTAACAAGCAGCCTTTGTCCAATAAATCCACTATCACTTCTCTAGCCTGCACATGTCCCATGTTCATCTCAGGCTGGTCTCTCTAACTTTATCTCCAAAGCTTTCAACCCGAGTTGTCCCTCTGATATACTCATTTCTGTGTCGATACCTTGTCCATCCCAGTCACTCCCAGTGAAAGTCTTGGAGTCGGCTCTGCCTTTTCATTTTTTTTTAACATTTATAACTCATCATGTTTTAAAATCTGATAAATGCAAATAGGAGAAACACCATTTGAAAAAAATGTTATAAGTGCTGACTCCAACTTCCAATATAGGGGAGATGTTTTTCCAGATGCTGGTAGTACTCTCAGAGTTTGGATTAATTGTCACTTTCCAGGGAATTTTTAGAGGTCTTAAAAATACTATATTCCTCAGGCTCTAGTTTAAACACATTAAAAAATGACTAGGTACAGCTGTTTACAATATGGTTACAGTTTGAACAATATGGCTCCCATAACAGATTTCTCTAGCAGCTGAACATTTTTACTCCATGAGTTTCACTCTAATGTAATCAGTAATATCACGGAAACTGACATTTAAGATGGAAACTCTGAAATGTGTGGACAAAAAGGTATTTGTAAGGTTTAAGTTTCATATCCATCAACCACAACAGGAAGCACTTTTTTTAAGATCATCATGAGCCACACTGCAGGTTTTAACCACAGATTAAGTTATAGATCGATATGCAGACAGACAGCTGGGAATCAAGCGTGAGAGAGAGACAGAAAGACAACAGGGGGAAGTGAAAGCAAGTGAGTGAGAGAGAGAAATTGCCCTTGTGCTCCACTTTAGATTCCGCTCACGTTCTGCTCTGTCCCCAGACGTTAAAAGTGTGTCCATAGTTTTGGCGACCGGGGGAGTGATTGGAAATGTCAGCTGACAACAGCACTTTTCACTGACACTCTGAGAACTGGCACGGAGACAGAGAGAGAGAGAGGGGGGAAACAGGGGTGAGGGAGAGAGGGAAGGGCGGACAGAGAGGAAAGGATGGAAGGAGGAAATGAGGAGGATGAAAGAATGGTAAGGGTGTGTGTGATGCTGATGGGAGGTTTGGTACAAACAAAAAAAAAAAAAGCCATGGTTGGCGACCAATTATGGATGACGCTGAATTGAAAGAGTGTGCATGTCGGTATGTGTGCATCAGTGTAAGTACTGTCCTCCTGTTACTCACTGCAAGTGTGCATGAAAGAAAGGCCTGTTTGTGTGCGCATGCGTGCATATCATGTAAGTGACTGACAGGAAGCTGCCACTCAATCTCTTTCCAAAAGCTGGAGCAAGTTAGAAACCCAACACTATGATGCTGCCCAACAGCACACGCACCCCTCCCCTCCTCCATGACCTTTCCTAAATGTTACTGGCCACTTGGCACACTGACTGGGCCTCTAATGAAACTTTTATTGGCCCCCATTTTTCACCCCGTTTTTCCAGAACTGCCTCCAGGGCTGAGCTGAAATACAACAGGCTTGAACTGCAGCTGACACACAGAAAGGAAAGATACAGTGTGTGCATATGTGAACGTGTCTTCGCATTTTATTTTTTATCCGTCTTCTCTGTTTCACAAAATCTATACAATCAAATTGCTTTTGAAAATATTTAAAGCCCATAGCTTCAAGACAAGCAATCACTATAATTATTAACATATAACTCACTAATTACATTTGATATTATCGACCAACATAAGCTAAAAGGCAAATAAGAAAAGCAGGTTTAAATTGTTTACAAAAGTTAAATGGGAAATGGGAGCAGTACTAATATAGAGCTTTTTACTGTAACCAACCACCAAATCTCACACACATTCATATAAGCGCATTTTTCCCCCCTATACCAAAGCACCTTGTCTAACATTCACGCACACATCCTCACTCTGACAGATCCATCAGAGGCAACTTGGGGTTCAGTACCCGACCCAAGGATAACCTCGAGCCAGGGAGCGAACCACCGACGTCCCTATTTGTAGACAACCCACTCTACCACCTGAGCCACATTTGGGATATGTAGGGATTAAATGTGCAGGACGAACTTTTAACATAAAGAAACAATAGAAAAGGACAAAGCTAGATATTGAAATTAACAGAGTACGGCCCTATTACCTGTCAAGTGTTTCTGCTCTTGCAGCTTAAGTTACTACATTCAGTGATTAATCTGGAAAAAGTACACTACAGTATTATCACAGCAGCTGTTGTGTAGTATTATTATTCCAATTACAGATAAATTGATATTTTTTAAATGTCTATAATAATTAGCTTTTAACAAATGTGACAGTATCCCCTTAAAAGAGGAAAAGAAGCTTAGAACAACAAAATCATGTTGAAAAGTCTCATCGTTTTTTCAAAACAGTAACTCTGCATATTTCTGAACCTAGTCTAAATCTGATTAGGCACTATGATGAGAACCCTGATCTAAAATCTGATCAGGAAACAGCTGCCTAATGGGTTAAAATAAACACTGGATCAGAGTTTGCTCAGACGTAACAAAGCTTCTAAAAATCAAAATATGCCTTCATCAGTTCCAATGGCAATCTTCTAAATCACTCTAGATATAGCCATTACTAAAATATTCAGATGTTTATCAAATATAGCTGCTGCATAAAGTCATCAAATTTTAGATTGAACTGGTAATTTGATGCAATTACATTTCACACAGCTCATTTATATTACTATTAGCATGGAATGTGGCCTGATCCATCATATTGTCATCCATGTGAGAAGTAAATCTTCATGTGACTGAGGAGTTTCAAACCTCCACCGATGGACAGGAGGATTATTTATCTATCCTTGTGTGTGTAGATGACGCAGGGCAGAAAGGAGCGGATGGGCTAGGCCCAGCAGGGTTGTGTCTTTTCCTCTTAGGAAGCAGAGAGGAGGAACACAGGGGTCAAGAGCGAACTGTTGATACCCATTATAAGCTCCTGTCACACTCACGCAACACTAATTACCACAAGCTGAACTAAACTGAACTGAGCGGGAATGAACTGAACTCAGCTGTACTGAGGACGTTTAATGCATCTGCAGGGTGAAGGCAGGGACAGTAGAAGAAAATAGAACTCACGGCTGGCAGAGTTTGATGAGGTCCTGGTCGGTAGTGGCAGGTGGCAGGCCTCTGATGTACAGGTTGGTCTTACTAAGTTGCTCCATTAGCCCTCCTCCCTGACCTCCACCACCTCCTCCTCCTCCTGTGTTGCCAGGGCTGGGTGGAGCCATGGGTGGAGGGGGAGGGGCATAGGACTGCTGCAAAGACAGAAAAACATGCAGAAAGGCAAACGTCACATTAGGTCTTTACTGCTATGTTTGGTGTCACATGAATCACGTATTTGATAACACCGCAAAAAAAGTACTTCACTCCAGATTCGGCTCCTCGGCTTTACCCCCCCTAAATTCCATCTACCAATCTCTCATCCACATCTTTTCCTGTCCCAATTATCTCTTTATTCTAGAGGAAGTACATAAAATTAGGAAAGCATGAGTCTTGATGTTCATGGTACCCAACCACTGGGGCTTGCCCGAATAGCAATAGCATGCTGTGCTGAATCTTCGCATATGGTTCTGCACTTAATGACAAGGCAGTAGGGACTTCCTTTCAGCGCTGACTGGAGTGTAAAGGTGCAGTGACTTCTACAGTGATTTAGATAAGGAAATGTTTCAAACCATTGATAATTTTCATGAAAAACAGGTTTGTTTGTGTGTGTGTGTACAAATCAGCAAACATTAAAAGCAGCACAAATTGCTTTCTGGTTGTTTAACCTTAGTTACAATGCAAGCAAATGTAGACCAGAAAAATGAAAGATATTCAAAACATTTCTTGTAATGCAAAGGTATCAAGCCACTGTCAGGCAAGAAAGTCTTAAAGCAAACACTGCTATGATTTGTATTAATAAATTTATGCCATGGGTGAACCGAGCAGGCTGTACAGCATTTAAATCAAGCAAGGCCCTTTTATCACCTTTAACTTACTCAAACATTTCCTATTGGCCTCCACTGTCCAATTATACAGCTCAATACTGACTAAATGGCTTAATAAGATGACCATTTCTGGCAGGGAGAAGAGCAGTGCAAGGATTAATGAGTGCCTGGCACTGAAGGCACACCCACCCCTGCCTGCCCGCTGCCTTAGGCAAACTATTAGGTTAAGTTTGGAGGAAGCAAACGAGCTTGATGGCCCATATGACAGCAGCATTCAAAACACTCCGTCTGCTGCCTTGGAGGAAAACAGCTACACCGCAAAGATGTGTAGTCCCAGTGTTGGTTCCACTGTTGGAAAGTGGATAGAACGAGTTCAAGAAGCTGCTGCAGCTTGAGATGATCACAGCGCAGCAGCGCTGTGTGCCGTAATGACGAGAAAATGAGAGACAGGGAGAGAAAGGATAGAGACAGGTAAGGAAAGGAAGCGTGTACATACTTAAGGTGAATCCTGTATTTGGAGTTGTGTGTGGCTATGTATGCACAATTGCAAGGAAGCTTGTGTGAGCTTGTGTGTGCGTGCACGAGTGTGAGCCGGTGTTTGTGATAATGACAGGCTGTCACCACAGAGCAATGTGGAGCCTGAGCCAGCTCTGATATTAATTCATTACCTGTATTTTCTCTCAGCTGGTGCACAAATCCTAACACACACTTGGACGCATGCTAGCGGCTCAGACAGACAGCGCTAACAGGATTCAACACATGTATGGAAGACACGCAGGAGTAAAAGGAGAAGGCGCTTATGTCATTTACAGGCCAGCACCTCACACCAGCAGCCAACAACGAGCCTGTACACTTCAGCTCAAACACAAACAAAGTGCAGAGGTGAAAGAGAGGCTATGCTGGGTAATACTTCAGTTTAACAGCTGGGACAAATAATACTCTGTATTACCAGTGTCTCTGAGATTTGCAGTTTGATGTTATTTCCTGAATAACTTCAATTTAGGGCTGTGCCATACATTTTTCACAATACCACCGACACAAATTTTTACATGATAATGTCAAAAAAGATGTCATATCGTGCTGTAGCAATGCCACACATTTACATTTACCAGTGCAATGAATGAAACAATTCCAGGCATGTCAGAGAGAAAGAATCATTTTTGGCTACTAAAACGGAAGCGATTTCAATCACCTCCAAAGCAGCACGCTACTTTGCAAAATATGCAAGAAAATTGTTCCTGGTAACGTGGAAACAACGAGTTTCACCATTTGAGGGAAAAACACATCGAGTACAACAAGGCTATGGAGGCAATGGAGCAGATACTGATATGTGACGCAAAGGTTAAAAAAATAAATAAAAAATGACCCAACCAAGCATTGCAAGCTGAACTCCGTATGACAGGATGGGCAAACAGTGAATGCAAATTACTGACACGGTTAAATGTTGGAAAAGCAGAACTTTATACTTGGGAAGCTGTTTAACCAGCTCTGTAAAGTATTTTTCAGTTTTACTATGTGACAATATTGACCAGGTTCCTGAAGAGTTTATTGTTCAACTAAAGCAGCTGGGCTACTTTTGCTCTAATATTTGGCTCATGCTATGTCGCCCCTGTTGAATTAGAATGCTGCTGCTACCGGTCCTCATTTCAATAGTATCACACTTTGAATTACATACTGTGTCATCAATGACTCACAGGAAGAGGATGGAAAATGCTCTTCATTTACTTACTGCTGCTCTCATGCTCTAAACATAAAACATCATTCATCATTTTTTCTACATCATCAGAGGCATCGTTAGTGCAAATTTTCTTTAAATATTGTGATATACTTTGAGTCCATCTCCCTTTACTAGCCCTTTACTCCTAAAGCAGTATTCACTTCGAAGAATATTGATACTGGCTCAACAACTTTGTATCAGCCACTTCAGACACAAAAAACAGAACTATATAATATACTAAAATGTGCTAAATATAATCAATTCCTTAATTAGTCAATCTAGTTGACAGGACATAATTGCCTTTATATTTTTGAGTCGTAGACAAACGGTTTCACAATTTCAAACTTTTTAAAATTATGACTATGAAATTATGGTCATTTTACATTATTTTGACAAACAAAGCTAAACAACCAATCATTAGAATCAACAATTCACGTGAAGTCTGTCATAAGTGTGCTTTCTCAGGACATTTTTATAAAACTTTATTGTATAATGTGTCACTGTTAGAGGAAAGAAAAGAAGCGCATATCTTTTTTTCCCCATGTGGTGTCTGCAATCACGATATTGGAAACCTCACCGCCTCAAAGCCTGAACTGTGCCGCGGACTGACTCGATATAAGCCTTTCAACAATGGGTTTTGTTTACCAACCTCCTCGGAAAGATAACACAGACACATGGTTGATGGGAGTGTCAGACACATAAAAGACACCGGGCTGAAATCTTATGGAGAAATATCACAGGGGTAAAAGCTATACACGCTTAAGATAACACACTGCACACCACTGCATGGTAAACACAATATAAGCTCATGAAGCAAAACCAGACTGTTAGACTATTAACAAACATGCACACAGTTAGCCTTATCTTTGTACATTCATTTCATTACACTGATCTGGAGCAGAAAGAGTCTTTCTTCACTCCAGTACGCAGATGTCCAGGTATGCACAAATGTACAAAACCTCTCCCCTTCCCCTCGTGTTGCTGACACAACACACACACAAACCTGATCAAAGGCCTTGCCCAGGGAACCTCTTTCAGCCAATTTGTGCAGCTGTCAGGGTTGGGCTGATAGTGAGCTGTGTATGTAATGTGTCAGAGACTGTGATAGGGAAATCCTTTGAAACATTAAAATCGTTCCGTCTCCCTCTCTCTAGCATTCACACTTCCACCTCTCCTCTCTCCCTCTTTCACTGTCAAACTCAACTCCACCATCGCTCCGTCTCTTGCTCTTATCATCTCCATCCTTCCACTTTCCCATATGCTTGCTCTATATTTCTTCCTCTGTGCTTCCCTCCCTCCGTGCTTTCATCCAGTTTCTCTCTTTTAAGGATTAGTCTGCAGTTGCTGTGTGTGGACTGAAGGCTGCCTCTCAGCTGGTATTGTTGACACACTTAGTACAGTGGAGCAGTTCTCACACTGGGAAAAAGGCTCAGAGGCAGCGACACAAACTGTCACACAAGGCAAACACAGTCACTGGGATTATTGCAGATTTCATGCACAACTGAGTCCTGAAACACAAACGTGCCGCGAAATATTACTTTGGTGTGACGCACGCACATGCATGCTGCTGACTGATGCTGGTGTACATTTCAGAGCAAAAGCAGAGGAATTACTACGAAGTAGTTTTTTCAAGGCACTGACCGTCCATGAAGTCCAAAACTTATGAGGCCATAAGTTTTGGACTTAATTGTATTTTCACAAGTTTTACCTGAAAGTAATAAAATGACAGATTTCTGCAATTTAAGTCCCAAAGAGTCACGGTGACAGATCTCTTTAATTTACTATAGTCAGGGGTGCACATAAGTGGTCTGCAGGTGTGCATTCGCTGTCAAAATAAAAGACGCGCACCAGATAAGAAGTTGCAACGCGCGTTTGCGTACATATAAAAAGGCACCGTTTTTGTCCGCTAGAGTGGGATTTCCACGGCATATTCTGCACCACATCTCTGTGCGTTCATTATTTGTTTGAAGCCAGCTCACCTCCTGCAACCACTTTTCCGAGAATACGCGCTTCTTTTGCGGTTCGGACTCCTGACATTTCTTTGGAGGTAATTGCTTAAAGGAGCTTGCTTCTTCGACATTTTTAAGAGTTCTAAACAAATGTCTGTCCTCCTCCAGAAAATCTAATGTACGCAAACACTCGTTGCAACTTCTTATCCGGTGTGCGTCTTTTATTTTATATTTTATTATTAGGATGCCTCAATCAACCGCATCAAGGTTGAATTTTACTCAAAAAGGAAAAAAAAGATCCAGGAATATTTAATTGCTTAGCTACTGAACTCTGGTCATGGCAGTAATTCCTGCAAAATAACTTATTTCATTGTACTCTGTAGACTTTTCCCATCCACCCACCCAAATCTGCCAATCTCCACTTCCCCGCTACTGTTTTGCTTGAGGAATAATTTAAACAGAATACATTAAACTCAGTTCTTTAACTTCTAAACAATGAATAGCTACTGAAAAGTCTTGTATGTGCAGATGTGTCTTTGTGATGATCAAACTTATCTCCAAACTTATCTGCAACAACATTAGGAGAAGGGGGAAAAAAAACAAACTAAGTATAGATGTGGGTGAAGGTATTGCACAACATCGCATAGGGGTGAACTTTGGAT